TCTGCTGCTAGCAGAGACAAATACAGTAAGAGGAATAGAGACATGCGGAATTCTCTGTGGAAAACTGGTACAGTTAAACCTTCACATTTTTTGGGGAAGGCATTTTAAAGAGCACTATATTTTCTGGCAGTGTACTAGTTTTGCAGCAAAAACAGATCTAAGCAATAGGTGCTTAACATCATTAACCTCATAACATTCACTTCAGATATAGAACTGTGGCCTGCTGCATGCCTGCTAGGGTCATCAAATTCATAACAACAAAAAGGAGAAGAAAATGCCCTTGTCAAGCTGTAGCATTGATTTACAAATGTTCCAAATACAGTCACCTCCTGTTGTTACTAATACTGCCCAGTATATTTTCACAATAAAATGCTAAGTGTACATTCAGGTATTTTAAGTGAATGTAACTGGGGCTGGCATGTTTCAGATTCCTATCCAGTACCTTTTTTAGTTATTTGCTTCACTCTGCGTTCTCATCTCAATGTTTGTTTTACAGACACACAATCAATTTACTATTACCCATGTAATAGTGCCAAAGCAGTCTGCAGGTCCAGACTACTGCGACATGGAGAACGTGGAAGAATTATTTGGTGTTCAGGATCAGTATGATCTCCTTACTTTGGGGTGGATCCATGTACGTATGCCATGTAGGTTCTGGCTTTTCTGTTTTGGCTCTGCATGCTGTGTGAAGCCAACTCTGGAAATAACAAACTTTAAAAGAGTAACTTGGATGATCCAAGTGAATTTGTTCACAATACTAATCATTGGGATGTAACTGAGCATTTATGTTCTTCACAGATAGTATTTCTAATGAGGCATCTAGTTGACACAAGGGTCTAGTTTTGCCGGTACAACTTCTGTTTATGTCTATTTAAGGGTACTTTTATTACTTTCTAATTACATTTATTTCATTTCATGGTAAAAATCTAATTTGGGGGTACTATTGTGGTGTTGAAACTTAAATGTTAATTAAAGTCAGTTGCATGGACTGCCATTTCACTCTTGAGAACTTTGACCAGTCAAGACATTTCCCTATGTCCTGTGCTGCTTCATTCCACTTGCTTTTTCCCCATGATCAGAAAATTGTTTGTACATCTGATTGTGAATGTGCCTCCATGAACTTCATTTTGAAAAGCTACCCTGAGAATGCAGAATCTGAGATAACAAGTTGAGAACTCAGTCTGGGGGAATTACTGATACTTTCAGTTGTTACAAATTATTGTTTCTTCTAGAATGTGTATCGACTGTGATTTGCTAAAAGTATTTCATGATGTAGAGATTTCCCTTTCTTTTTGTAGACACATCCAACACAAACTGCATTCTTATCCAGTGTCGATCTTCATACTCATTGTTCTTATCAGCTAATGTTACCAGAGGCCATTGCAATTGTTTGTTCACCAAAGCATAATGAGTGAGTTCTGACTTTTCTAAGTAATGTTTAGATATTTTTCTCTGCTTCCTATCTTAAAACTTGATCAAATACAAACTGGGTTGAAGGACAGGAGCAGGTGTGGGGCGAGTTTGTTTTCTTTATGTTGTTTAGTCTTACATTCCAGTGAGAGTTTATGCACAGTATTGTTTTGGGGATCTCTCTCCTCCTGCCCTCTCAGGCCCAGGTTTTAATGTTTTATGTGTTTTTATGCTCTGCTCAAACCAGGATTAACAACAGAGGATCATTTCCTGTAGGTCTTATTGGCCATGGCCTGCCAGACACCTATCTTTGTTTTCTCTGTTGAAGCAAGTGGAAGGGCTTAGAGCTGCACAGCAATTACTGTGGAGGTCTATGGCCTTTGCGGTGCTTGGCCTTTCAAACCCATAGGGCCATCACTGAATACTGTGCACTTTTTTAGCCCGTATTAGTGGCCATCTGCTCTTATATAAGACTTCCATGGATCCTATTCTAACTTCTTACATGAGTCATAAGAATCTGACCCAGCCTTATCTCCTGTGAATCAAATGTTATTGAGTATCATCTTGTCCTTCTCTTGAGCCAAGCAATTTGTATATGAAACAGTGAACTTCTAGGACGAGGGCAGTACTTAACTTTCATCTTTTACTTCCAGCACTGGCATCTTTAGACTTACTAACACTGGCATGCTTGAAGTTTCTGCTTGTAAAAAAAAGGGATTTCATCCACATACAAAGGACCCTAGGCTATTTAATGTAAGTATATAACGCAACTTTTTTTTTTCTTTTTTTTTTTTTTTCTTTTGGCTGTGCTTCAAACAGAAATTATACTTGCTTCAGACTAAGTTTCTTCATTTTCCCATTTTCCCTTTTTCCCTACCTTAAAATAATATAACTCATTATCTTCTTACCTTTCTTTCTAGCTCATTGCATTCCCTTTCTTTTTCATTACCTTTTCTTCATTGAAAGGTAGAGCTATCAGAAATCTATCTGAAAGTCAGTACCCACATGGAAGTAATTGTATGACTGGCAGTTTCCATCAGTTACGACTTCGGCTTGCTTTTAACAGAAGCAAATGCCACAGATTCAAACAAGAGTTGTTCATGAGCTGTTGAGTTTTAAAACAAAGAATTTAGTTCGTCTCACCAGCTGTGGGGTCCCAGCAGAACTGACCAGATGCTGCACAGTGCAGCTAAGAATTGATTAAACCCCATTTTCTTCATTATCTGTAATTTTCCCCCAGTTCTTCAGAAGCTTTCCTCAAGAACTACAAGTTCTTCAGTGTTTTCAGAGCCTGACATGCTGTTTGTATCGCTGAACAGAGGTCATTCCTAATTATATGAAATGCCACTGTTTCCTGAAAGACAGTCATCTTTTTCCCTTTGAATAATTACGATTTTTTTAAATGGGGCTCAATTGAAAGACAGACCAGCTCATAGCTACAGCTCAAAATCAAGTGATCAAATGCATAGAAATAATATTTTAAAATGACATTAGGAATTACTTCTTTGTGGTATAGCACTCGGAATGTAAGTATTAATCCTCAAAAAGGGCTCACTTACAAACATTATGCAAACTACTGGTATCAAAAATTTCCTTTTAAGTACAGTCTTCAAAACACCTTGATCTTCCAACAAGAACAGCAAGATCATGGCCTTATTTCCCAAAGAAAAATACCAGGTGTGATAATACAAGAAACTTCCTGAAAACTGACCAGCAGAACAATCCTAATTTGCCTCCATCTGATTTACAATAAAGGTTCTTTTCCGCAGACCCATCACAAGCATTTACAACTAGTTAGTGCCATTAGACACAGTTACAACTAAGTGAGAGCTCAAAACTGCATTATTTGAATAGAAACACCTGAAGCGACTACAGAAAGCAAGAAGGCTTCAAGCTTGGCTTGCTGTTGCCCAGCAGACAACCCGTTCCCCCTCCACCTCAGTACACCATGCTGTGATTCACAACTACTCAGAACTATATTGTGTTTTATAGGTCAAACAATAAGCAAGAGCCTTCTTAGAAATCTGTGTCTAATTGCATACTGTAATCCTTATCCTGCTTAGCAGTCTACACCTGGGAAGATACAATTGCCTACTAACAGGCATAGTGAAAGGTAAAAATCAAAGTTGTATCTATAGGCCTAGTATTAAGTAGATAAGGAATGTTAGAAGGAAACAATAACCCATGTATGCTATTTTACTCTAATTGATTTCTATGAGTAATGTGTTTATTTTTTCTACAGCCATGCACCCATGTGGTCGGGAAAGACATAAAGATAATTGTGCTGGATCTGAGGTGATACGGAAGGACAGTAATGGCCACTACTAGGCAAGTGGCCAAAACAGAAAAATGGCTTCCAGTTTTCGTATGTTTTCAAAATGACTTTTATATTTATACATTTTAGATTGAATGGTTTGATATTTATTGGTCTTGACCATTTTGGAGTTACTTTGTTGCTCTGTCATGATGGAGTTCAGTGACAGCTCTGCAACTCTAAATGTATCTCAATAATATAACAACACAATAAAACGAACCTCAAACAACTGTAATGCTATTGAGGTAATGCTTCTTTTGTCACTGTTGGCATTAATTGTCTCCTGAGAATTACAGATTTTTAATAATATTTGACTTTTTGTAATTTGCAGCTATGTTCTTACAGTTCTAGCTGCTTCAGTGGATTTACATTTCACGTAGTACAGCCAAATAAGTCAGCTTGGGTGGCTTGTCCTCCTGCTTCCACACCTCCTCCTTTCCATCTTTGTATATATCTGGTTTCTGCTATGTTGTTAAACAGAAATCACTTAGGAAACCACAAGTCTTTTACCTGAGAGCTGATCCCTCATCATATCCTGGAATAACGGAGATGCATCGGACGCTCTTGGAGGAAGATGTCTTCTGCAGTAACCCTCTAGCAGAAACTCCTACTTGAAAGCAAGTTCTGCTCCTGAAAGACAGCTATCTAGAGATGGATTAAAAGATCCCTCTAGAGGTAGAAGAAAGCAGCATACAGAAGTCTTTCCTCTACAAGAGTTCATTCAGAATCTGCTCTGTGAATCTGAATGACTTGTACTTTAAAGAATAAGGTTAGTATGAAAAAGTTTGGAACATATACTAACCCTCAGAAGTTGGTTGAACAAGATCAGGAACCCAGAAGTTAGCAGACATACTAAGTAAGAGTAAGAAAGAGATTCTAAATACCTTACAGTCTGAAAGATAAGGAGGAACAGGTAAGTGGATATCAAAACTAAATAGCAGCCTGTATCCTGAATTCTAACAGTATAGATTGTAGCAATTTTCTTAGAACTGACCTTTTTCCAGACATCGCTCAGTGAATTCTTTATTTATATATACAGTAATAAGACAGTAATACTGGCTTCAGCTCCTATACATGTATTTCTAGTTTAGCATTCGTTTCAATGTGTTTAAGACAATAAATGGAATCAGAAAAATCACAGAAAAGAAGGCATTCTAAAACAATTTTATCTGCTTTGTTTACATTGCCTCCCAAAAAACAAGTTAAAAGAGAAAATATATTAAGCCTGCTTAATTATGCTTTAGGCCTTGCCAGAAACCACAACATAAAAATAATAGGACTGCACTCACCCTGAGGGCATATAATAACAAAGTCCCGTGTTCAGTCTAATGACAAAGCTTGGTCCTGCCCCCCAAGGAGCAGGTTTAGTTTCTTTAACGAGGAAGCACTGAATTGCTGTGGTGTGTATCATACACCTCCGGGCCACGCTTACACTAAAGGAAATTTTCAGCATTACAGCTGTTAATTAAGTAGTGATGTGAATAGATAATTATTTCTGGACAGACCAGGTGCAAAGCAAGGTGCATGTGCTCATCATTACATCAGTCAGATGCTCTGCACCTTTGATGCTGCCTAGAACTTTAGAAGACTCAAGACTGGGTTGGTTTTCAGACAAGAGGATTTAGTGAAGCTACACACTGGCTAGACACCAGTAGCTGAGCGCTCTGCCTTCCACGTTACCGAACAAAACATACCACCTTTCCTAGTGAGCCCAGCATAACGTAGTAACAAATTCATGCCACCAGATGGAGCGTTAAACGAGCTGTAATGGTGTCTCCACAAATGCATGTTACTTTTGTAAAATATGAGCAGCAATTTTGTAGCGTATTTAAAATTTATTCCAAAAAATATACATAGTATCCAATTAAACAGAGTCATGACGATGAAGGATTTATGGAATGAAGTTATAAGAATGTATCTTCCTGAATACATTCACAGTAATACACTAAAGAGACATGTAAGGCAATTTAAAAGCATTTGCGGTGAACAATGGAGGGGCCTGCTTCATCGTACTCCTGTTTGCTGATCCACATCTGCTGGAACGTGGACAGGGAGGCGAGAATAGAGCCTCCAATCCAGACGGAGTATTTACGTTCAGGAGGAGCAATAATCTGTTCAAGAAACAAAGGAATCAAATGCAACCTTGTGCTGTGAATGAGATAGATTTGTTGAACAAAATTCCTGACGCAGTTACATGCAATATCAGTGAATACACTCTGTCTATATGCTAGTGCCATCCCCTAGACAGTAAGCCACTGCTGCAAGCAGTGAAGTTAGAGAAATTGAGAAATTTAAGTCCCAGACTCAAACTTTCTGACTGATTCAGCCTACTCAGCAGGAGCTGTGCACTTGCATACTCATGACTGGAAATTAGAAAAGGGGAGATAATTAGTCTGGCAACAAGAAATGACAGCCAAAAGACTCTGGAAAAATAAGTGGCCTATGGAATATCCTTTTTGGTAGAGCCAGGAAAATGCTTGCAGTAGAAAGAAGACCTGTTTGTCAAAGGCTCTTGATTTTCTGATCATGTAGGCCAAGGACAAAACCAGCATTTCCTCTTTCATTCCCATATTTCAGCCTAAAAGGGCTGAAGAAGCTTAGCAAGGTCCCAGAGGAAAACTTGTGCTTCTGATGTTGTGCTTAGCCCTTAGGGCATTTTTACAGAATTCAGCATGAATAAGGAGAAGAGAGAAGCCCGTGTTTCACTAGCAACAAAGTTACTCTGGATGCTTATTTACAAAAACATACACAAGAATTAAAGATATCTACAAAGTGATGCAAGTGTTGCCATTTTTTCATTAGGTTTTTGTCAAATCAGGCAGTCTACAAACAATTGCACTATACCTTGATCTTCATGGTGCTGGGAGCAAGAGCAGTTATTTCCTTCTGCATCCTGTCAGCAATGCCTGGGTACATGGTAGTGCCACCAGAGAGCACATTGTTGGCATAAAGATCCTTCCTGATGTCTATGTCACACTTCATGATGCTGTTGTAAGTAGTTTCATGGATGCCAGCAGACTCCATGCCTGGAAAAGTTAGAGCACAACCCTAAGGAAGCAACTCCATATAAAGCCTTAAAAATGCTAACATAGAAACACCACTACAAAGTGACCCTCTGGAAGACGCCAATCTTGGTCACTATGGAAATCTGGAAAGTCATTCTGCAACTGCCTATGTTATTTACTTAGAAATTCCCTGGGACACAGTCCTGTCCTCCTCCCCTCCTTATTTATACATAATTTCTCCATAAAAAGGAGGCTGGGCAGTGGAACAGTAGAGTTTCAGTAGGCTCTTGCAGACAACCTCAAGTGGCCTAAGACTTCCTTATATGGTTCTGAAATCATTTGTTTTCTTTATTTTTTCTAATTTGAGCCAGCTCAGAGACAGAACAGTCAAAATATGTCCTAATACCTCCAAGTATGCAACTACTTTATCCATTTCTGCGCTGAAATTCTGCCCATTGGCAGAACCTAGATTCCTCCGTGGCCTCACTGCAAGCTTGCCTTCCCCACAGCTGATCAGCACGGCGCTAAGTTAGCTACGCTCTGCAAATGTGAAGCACCATCGATACAGGACTCCAAGCAGTCTTGGAAGACTAAAAGTTGTGCTCCCCTGCCCCTGCAAGCACATTTAAACTACAGTCCTCACTCTGTTTAGGAAAGTGGCTCTGTAGCCATTCTTTGAGGGTAGCCAACTATGTAACGTACAAATTGACATGGGCCCAAAGCCAGAATCGAGGAATAAACATTCACTGCTTATTTTGGGAAATCATTTTGCCTTACTGTTTGACATGAAGTTCCCCCCATCCTATTAAAAGTTCTGTTTTAAAACATCATTTTGTCGCGGGAGCCCTAGCACATACTCGTGTAAGCTAGCAAGGGCAAAGGATCAAAAAGACCAAGGGCTTGATATTTCTGGTCAGGATAATCAAGGAACCTACCAATGAAAGACGGCTGGAAGAGGGTCTCTGGGCAGCGGAAGCGCTCGTTTCCGATGGTAATCACCTGACCGTCAGGAAGCTCGTAGCTCTTTTCCAGAGAGGAGGAGGAGGCAGCCGTGGCCATCTCATTTTCAAAGTCCAGAGCCACGTAGCACAGCTTCTCCTTGATGTCACGGACAATTTCCCGCTCCGCTGTTGAGAGGATTCAGTCTTTAGAATGGCATTTAGGGAGGACCTAAGCATTTTGATACAGGTTGTTCCCTTTCCTTCTCTAGCATCTTCCCCATTTTTTGAAGAAACCCCCTGACAGCCCCGCAGGGCAAGTACTTCTCTATTGGAATCCTTCATGCAACTTTCTAAGCAGCTGTAGAACCATCATCATTCCTTCTAAGGCCATCAGAAACATTACACATTAAAATAACTCTTCCCGTTGGTCTGCACTATGTTCTTACCAGTGGTCACAAAGGAATAGCCACGCTCCGTGAGGATCTTCATGAGGTAGTCTGTCAGGTCACGGCCAGCCAGGTCGAGACGCATGATGGCATGAGGCAAGGCGTAGCCCTCGTATATTGGCACGTTGTGGGTGACACCATCCCCAGAGTCCAGCACGATCCCTTTGAGCAGATAAGACAAACTGTTTGTTCTGGGCGGCACAGGTGCATGCTCAGCTATTCACAAGGCCTGTGCCACTTGGCCCAGAAGCCTCCTACCTGTGGTACGTCCAGAAGCGTAGAGGGACAGGACAGCTTGAATAGCCACGTACATGGCTGGCACGTTGAAAGTCTCAAACATGATCTGAAATGCAGTTAAAATAGTTTACAACATGGTTCATATTTTAACTAAAGCAATATATTGAAAGAAAGGGAAAAGACAAGATTTTCATGTTTCTTGATGGCCAGTAATGTTGAGGCAAGAAAAACACCTCTGAGTATAAAAATATTTGTTCTTTAAGGCATCTCTCAATATCTGGCCTGGAACTATGATTTATGAATACATGCATGCCACATGCATGTATTAAAGATAAATTTGTTATAGGCCTGGGTCTTGAAAAGATTAAAGATAACAGCTTGGACAGACCTAAGTTTTTACACTCAAAACTGATTCAAAAAGATTGTGCCCGTTTGACAGATGATCACTATGCATTATTCCATCTTGCTTAACTCACTACTGTGGACAGCAGGACAGTCAAGCTGGCACAACTAACTGTAATGATCAAGTTCAGATCCTGCTAAATTCACAAAATTGGGATTATTCTGATAATAATCAGGGTGAGCTTACTTGGGTCATTTTCTCTCGATTGGCTTTGGGATTCAGTGGTGCTTCTGTCAGCAGAGTCGGATGTTCTTCAGGCGCAACACGGAGCTCATTATAGAAAGAGTGATGCCAGATCTGAGGAAAAGGAAGGAAACACCATCACCATCATCTCAAAATCACTTCTGGCCAGCAGCTCTGCTCCAGCACTCTGACTGCCCACGAGAGGGAGGTTCCTGATGCACTTGGTCTTGTTGCCTCCACAGCAATTACCAAAGTGACCGGAAAAAAAAAAAATCACTATCCTTGGGTTTTACTGCTAGTAATACACTATTTTTAAGCAGATACACGTTAATGAAAATAAATATGCTATTCTTACAGTAGAAGAGAGAAGGCAGGACAGATTTAATTGAAACAAGGCTATTTCACTCTACATTGCCCTTCAAATATAATATGGAAATGCTGACACTGGTTCCTTTTGGATCCTTTTTCTCCATTTTAGCCTTCTGCTCATTTACATAAACCAAGGGAACTGTCTTATTTCAGGTCAAAAAAGGAAAATCCAGGGGCAAATAGCATTAGCACCCAAGTGTACAAATGCATTTTCCTTTCCATCTTTTCAATAGACCCTCAAGAAGCAGTATCAATATTGACTGGAAGTGCAATAGTTTAAGCATCCCTTAAAAGATATTTATCCTAGAACATACAGAGATCCCTGCAGTAGCATTTGATAGATAAGGGGTCTCTTGAAGACAGTTTCTTCTTCTTTTGGTTTATAGAGGTCAGCCCAAGAACTCATTGTAAGAAAGGAAAGTGATTTTTTTGTGGGACAAAAAGCCCACAAGCTTTCCACCTCCTCATGGCTAACTCACCTTCTTATCAGCCATAAAATATGAGGCTAGGCAGGCTGTAATGAGGAGGTTAACTCACCAATAAGAATAAACCATAAGAGAGCTTCTAAATACCAAAACAGATTTGTTATGCTTGTCTTCAAGCTGGTGGTGATTACAGACTGGTTTGATGGTTACATCTCTGAAAGACTTTTCTGTTTTCCCCAATAAAGCCTATGATGCTACAAGAATTAATAAACCCTATGCGGATGCACAGTCTTCTGCAGCATGTTGTGCTATCATGGCCACTTAGAACAACTCTAGCTCCACAGCAGATCACAAGACTTTCATCCAAATACTATCTCTGACATGGATTCATTTCATTGTCAGAAATTGTTCATTGTTTTGCAAGAACAGAGATTCCTTCTTCAACTTCATTTTCTCACTGGTAATTTGAGGACATTGCTATTTTTTGCTTTACAATAGTTGGCAAAGATGTGTAGACAGGACAAAGAAAACTAAAACCCATTTTGATATATTCCAAGTGATACTTCAACTTCAATACACATTAACCTTTGCTAGTCTGGCTTCAGTGGCTAACAAGCTTCTGACTAAACTGTACTGCTAACCCGACACTTTGAACCTAATGTTCCCAGATTACCCAGGAAACTGTAGATCAAGTAGGTGTATGATACACCTCATTTTTGCACTGCTGAAATACCTTCTCCATGTCGTCCCAGTTTGTAATGATGCCGTGTTCTATGGGGTATTTCAAGGTCAGGATTCCCCGCTTGCTTTGTGCCTCGTCTCCTACATAGCTGTCTTTTTGACCCATGCCGACCATCACACCCTACAAATGACACAAAAGGAGTTAGTCTTTCAAAGATAGGTGTTAACATAGTAATTAGAACAAAGCGTTTAGAACATTGCCTGTCAGATACACTCAGTTGCCAATGACATTAGTTACACAATACTTTATGAAAGCTCATGTTGCAGAAGTACTCATTGCTTTTCAATTTACAAAATTAAATTTTTAGTTAAACCTTTGAAGTTAATATCTGTATTACTGCTTAGATCAGCAGCACAAGTACAATGTTAAATTGATCAATAGGGTTGTCTTAATGATTGTTATTATTTAGGGATGAACTATCTGCTAAAGTATCATGAAGTGAAGTGGGGAGCAAAGCTGTGCCATCGAATGGTCAAGAGGGAGCAATATACACTTTACATTTCCCAAAGCTTGAATTTCAGTGTTTTTTAATCTCGGGTGGGTTTTTGGTTTCTTTTGAATACTGAAATAGTGCCTTTGGAGATACTAGCAATTTAAATCTATTGGTATATGCTTCCTTCTAGGTATTTTCATGGATCTGGTAGTGGTCCATGGACCAGAAATTTAAAAAGGCTTTGGAAATGCTGTAGTATCTTACTACGTTGAAAATAGAAACATGAGGAAAAATAAAAGTATATTAGGATGCTTTGACTGCATTATTCTCTTATCAGAATTTAGTCATGACCTGCTCCAAATCTTGTCTTCTCTAAACTGTCCTGTCTTGGAAACAGGAAATCTGGATTTGCAGTTTATGATGGGGTGATCTTTTCATCAGGGGACTAATGTCATCCCTAAACTGTGGTCAGGAAAGAGGGTTTCTAGAAATCTGCAGTATTTTTTACCCCTATGATGACTGTGTGAGTTATTTTTGAACAATTAATACCATCCACATGGTCTATAGAAAATGATATTTGATTATCTTTTTGCCCAAAGGCCTCAGTTAGATCTCCAGATCTACAACAAAAGTCAAGCATTTCTCCTGCCCTGAAGAACTTAAAATGTACCTCCTATGTATGTAAGTGCCAAACATATTAAAGTCAGTTTACCCATTTTCTTTTCACCGAGTCCTTGGATGGTATAGAAGCAATTAGGTAGATCTTAAAACTCAGCAGTCCATTTCATTCTATGTGGCCTAGCTAAGCCGTTCTCGTTCATGCTAATGATGAGCTGGTTCAAAACTCTATTTTGCATCTCAGCATTTTTAAATTAATAAAGCAAACTGTGAAGCATTATAGGGTCAACTGCAAACCTTTAAGCTACAAAACCCAGCCCTATAGAAACAAATGACCCTGCTCATTTGTGCTATAGCTAAATGAATCAAGTCAGGAAAGTTAACAGGAAACCAACTGAAAAATTTTCCTTCTTTCTCTCTAAATCATCTATCACCAAACTTTGTGCAGTCAACATTTCTACATGATTTGGATGGTAGGGTTTATTTTTTAAAACTGGCTTTACTTGACAAATATTCTAGGAGATTAGAATTGAGGGCAGGGAGAAGAAAGGAGGGAGGATTTCCATGATGCTGCTGTCAAGGAAAGAGCCGTGGCTGCACTGTGGCGAGTTACACAGACTGCTCGGGACTGGGCTACCCCACACACAGGACAGGGTGGATCTGGACGGACACCTGGGTACAGGGCAACCAGACCTTCTAGAAACGCTGCAGAAAATAATCAAACCAGTTCATTACCTGGTGCCTGGGGCGACCCACGATGGAAGGGAAAACTGCTCTTGGAGCATCATCCCCAGCAAAGCCGGCCTTACAGAGCCCCGACCCATTGTCACAAACGAGGGCAGTGCTGTCCTCCTCCTCGCACATCTTCTACGGCAGCGTCCTTAGGTCCTCCTGAGAGAAAACAGCAGGAAAAGAATAAAATAAAAGCTCACACTCAGGTATACCAGATGCACTCTTGAATATCTAGACAGCTGTATGAAAGGGACTGGTAGTAGCAAGGACACACAAAGTCCTAGTTTGATAAAATCAAGGCTGGGATGAAGAAAAAAACTTCCTTTTGAAAATGCCAGAGTTTTTCAGCACGCTGGCAGGAGAACTGTCTGCACAAGAGCTAATTCAAGAGGACTCCAAAGGAGACTTCCCGTCCCGCTGCAGAGAGACAGGCCAGTAGCAAATGTTATCTAAATAGCAAACGTTCATCTAAATTTGGTCAAAAAATCCACTGCTGGGGCAGAGGAAATAAATAATGCTGGAGTGACAGCTGCAAAAACAGGGATTCCTGTGCATCAGACCCAGCACGGTACTCCCTGCTTTCCTATGCCCCTGTCAGCATTGGGGCCCACATGGGAAGCCTTTGACGCACGAGCTCTTCACTCGTGCCACTCACGGGCTTCCACAGGACAAACCACATCAAATACTCGTCAGCAGCCAGCGGTATTTCACTGATACCGATATTACCCCGCCGTGTCAAGAGAGCATATTTCCCATTTTAAAAGCAAGGCAATGTTCAAGAAGGAAAGCAGGCTTTTCCCAACCCTCCTCTACTCATTCAGAAAAAGACGCTGCCTTAACAATCAGCCTGTATTTGGAACACAGGCCATAGCACATCATCATTTCAAGCACATGCTCCATCATCACTTCAAACCAGCTAATAAACTGCAGTTGTAAAACGGCAATGGAATTCATGTTGGCTCCCTGACTCTGTAAAGCAGAAACTGTTTTCCTCCTCAGGCAACAGACAATAGCACAGAGAGTAAAAATGCTTTGAAGGGTTCGTCCTGAAGTCAGTTACAGAAACAATCCCCGAATACCAAGGCTGGAGAACTATCTGCGCCAGTTCACAGAGTGGCAGGGGAATCCCTTGGCGCGCTCTGCGCCCGGGCTCGCGTGCGGAGCGTTACCAGCTGGAGGAGGCAGCTGCCATGCCCAGATCCAGCCGACTGACACACAGCCCCGAAACCGCCCGCCACGGGAATGCTGCGAGGGCGGGATGAGGAGGGGGACAGGCTCAGGATGAGCCTTCGCTCATCACAGCATCCTGAAGGTTGGAAGAGACCTTTGGAGATCACCTAGTCCAAACCCTGCACACGCAGGGTCACCCAGAGCACGGGGCTGCATCCAGGTGGGCTTTAAAGATCTCCAGAGAAGGAGACTCCACAGCCTCCCTCGGCAGCCTCTTCCAGGGCTCCATCACCCTCACTGTCAAGAAATGATGAGAAAGGGAAATGATGAGAAAGGGAAGGTGAAAATGCCGCTTAGTCCCTCCGGCAGATGGAAGGATCCTCCTTTTGAGGCGCTCTGTCCCTGCACGCCGGGCAGCCCGGGGACACGGCTCCAGCAGGGCGGCTGCAACAGGCATGGAGCTGCCCTGGGACAGGACACGGAGGGAGTGGGAGACCCCTGTGCTCAGGTACTTTATTGCTCGTGCTAAGGACGGAAACTAGGATGCAGATTTTCCATTTATTAAACTCCTGAGAAAACAGGTTGCTGATGCCCAAACACTCACTCAATGGAGTACAACTGTTATCTAACATGAATGAAGGGCTGCTCTGGACGAACCATTTCCTAATTAGGAAGCAGGCTTTCCAAGCGGCTGTTTTTGGAACAGAGCTTGAGGTCAGGGAGGTTGCTCAAACCAACGCAGCTAATGCAGTGCCAAAAGCCACTTGGGGGAGGGATGAGGAGGGGGCAGGAAAGGCTACGTTTCTGAGTGTAGGGAACTCTAAATGAGAACCATATTTAGTAATAAAGCACAGAAACTTGAAGAAATCAGAGCTGAAGGGTTTCTGACAGGGTGCTTTCCTGCCAGCCAGCGAGTTGGAGCTCGGCACTGCCACAGCGCGCAACAGCAACATCCCAAGCAGCAAGTGCACTCAGCTCTGTGCAATAACTGTAGTTTTCTCTCCCAAATAATTAACCCAGTATTTAGCTACTTATATCTACTATTTTCCATTTAAAGATAGCCAGTCACCTCACCAAACTCCACAGCTACCTGCTGAAAGAGTTGCAGCCTCACAGGAAACACTGTGGGTAACCTGTCCCTAAAGGAACACTTGGCATTTTCCTGGGCAATGGTTTCACATACATAGAGACAAGGACAAAAACAGAGCCACCCTTGCTGTATCATACTAGACACTGCTATTTTGCACACTTCCCAGCTCTTTTACAGTCACATTCCCCAAAACACTTTCTTAAAACATGTTGCCACACGCAGAGTTAAAAGCACTGAAGCAAAGTTGCTAAAAAGCTCCACTTCACCGCAGAAAAACCCACCCCATGCAGAATATCATTCTGCCCAAAACTAATATCCCAGGGTCACACCGGTTAATTTGAACATGGACACAATCACAATTCCAGTGGTAGCATCACTGTCTCCATACTGTTGCCGAGTGTCAGTGCAATCAGCAAAAACACGTGGTAGAACTTTATTCCCATTTTAAAAGCACTATGAAAATAAAGCCAATGTAGTATAGATATTACAAGCAATTCAGTATCAATTCATCTCTAATAAATGCATAGGCAGAGTACAGCACAACATTACATCCTCCTGAACAGCTTCCAAGTGACCACATTTAATAAAAGTCCTCCAGAAAGGTGGCATTTGCTCCGGTTCAGTCCCACTTACCCTGATGGTGCTCGGCCGGGATAGCTGCTCCGGGATGGTGCTCCGTGCATCCCAAGGCTCAGGGGTTATATAGCCCCTTCAGCTCCTCTCCTCCCACGAGCCTCCCAAACAAGGAGCAGAGACAGCCAGAGACAGAGCTGAAGTCTCTAACAAAGCCATATAGGGACCGTATTACAAAAACCTCTAATCTGGGTGGCCACGGGCCCTGGGTCTCTTCCACTGCATTCCAGTGCAGAGCTCATGAAACAGGAGGAGACTTTCAGCTGTGCAAGATAAACACTTGGAGACTTCAGGGGAGCTGCTAAAATGCACCGGGGCAGGAGGTGCCCATGGCAGCGCCCTCGGAGCACGTGCTCGGACAGAAAGGGCTGGGCCTCCGGAGAGGGTAAAAGCTGGAACAGCAGTCATTTATAACAGGAATGCTGTTTTTAAATAAAATACTTCAATTTCGTTAAAGATTGTGACAAAGACAAGGAAAATGTTTCTGCGAAGCTAAACTGCTGCTGAATTTTGCTATGAGTTCCCTTTAAAAGCTTGATATTTTGATTTGTGTGATAAACACTGCCCAAAGGCTTTGGCCTAACAGATTCACGTAGGGGTAAAGTGAAGTCTTGGCAGGTTGAGAAAATATTTTTTTAAAAGATTGTTATAATTCCCTTTGGGTTGTCATGGGTTAGAATCAATCTCCGTGGGTTAGAAACAATCCTCTTTCTATGTCAAGCTTGTTTCCAAATGCTACTAACCGTGAGCCAACCTCATCCAGACGCAACTCCTCCGATGCCACAAGTCTGGAGAGCTCTTAACTGACACCTCAAACACACTCACGATAAAGTTGCTGAATTTTATAACCTTCGGCTAGCTTTGCAGCTGAACGTATTCTTAGCAAATAAAGCACAGGTTCTCACTGTACAGGCTATTTTCAGAGCAGGGCTGGATTTCTACAGCTGCAGCCAGCTGTTCTCCAGACAGACACGCTCTACTGGAAAAGCCTTTCCATGGTTAACAACGTATTATCATTAGGTTTGTGTGGAAGACTCAAAATCAGCATTTCTAAACTGCATTACTAACCCATTTGCAATTCAAAATTAGGCACAGAAGCCGAGAAAGCATGGTAGCAATCCAGATGGGACTCTTGTTTCATGAGGCTTATTCCATGGGGGGCTGCCTGACTAGTCCTAATGCAAGAAAAGCCCCCATTGAACCCAGCAGGAGTTCTGGGGTTCTGCCTTGAGCAGCACCAGCCCAGACACCAGAACGATGCATTGGAGGCAAAAAGGAATTGAACTTTTAAGGAAAGGAACTTTCGAGGAATGTATTTGCCTCTGGATGTCAGAAACAGAAGCTAACAAGTGTTGGAACATGAGCCATGCAAAAGCAATTTCTTATTTTACTTCCAGCATCTGCACAAAAGATAAGAGATATTTTAAAAGAGAGGGGGGAGGGAGAGGAAAAAAGTAATCAAACCTACAAGGGGATATTCACAGATCCTTCCTCCAACTGACTCCTAAAAGACAGTCAAAACCAAATACTTTGTCTTTAAGTCCCTCAAAAACATACTTGACAGTACGCACAGAACTTGCATAAAACTGTATTAGATCAGGGCATGTTGATCAAGGAGGAGGAAAATGTCACACAGCAGAACCCTTTACTTCAATATCATCTGTGTGTTTGGTATAAGCATTGGTCTTGCACCCTCTAGATTGCAGGAGATGTTTAGAAGTGTCATCTACTACCTCTCCTTGGGAATTCCAAGATCAGGAACAGATACAAAAGAATCCAAACTCCTAACCTTGGCAACAAGAGGTTCACTCATCTAAAAGGAGTGTTTACTGACAGTGATGCTCTTGTGGCCATAGTATATATGGGACTGCAGAGACCAGCAAACACCCCTCAGCTGGACAGGCAAATACTTCATGTTGCACCTCAGCTGGACTAAAGGCAACTCTTTTCTGCAGGTATCACGGGGAGTTTCATGCCTCTGTCAGGCTTCATCAGAGTGGCTGTAACGTCAGCCTGGCAGCTGTGACATTAAACAGAGGCAGCGATGGCAGCAGCAGCAACTTGGCCGCTGTGAGGCCCGGTCACTGGGGTGGGGATCTCACATCACTCTGAAATGCCCTGCTGATTAGGGACACCAGGCCCTGCGTCCCAAGGTGCTTATGTGAAAGATACGGCTGACACAGGCTCATCCAGAGCAGGCAGATGTCAGTGAGGCAGCAGGTGTGAAGGAAGCACCAGATGTCCGCAGGGATCTCCCAGGTGAAGGATACGCGATGGAGACGGAGCTGTTGGGAGGGGAGGAGCAGGCAGCCCCGTGAGGATCAAGTTTATAAAACTTGCCTCCATGGCCCCAGACACATGCAAGCTTGGCCCAAACCTCTACTGGTTTCTAGAAGCAAAAGAACACAATACTGACCACTCCCAAGCAGAATTTAGTTCCCCATCTGGAGGTCACTCCATCACCACTTTCTGCTGCCAGTTTCTCAGTATTTATCCTGCTCATTGCTATAAAAACTGCCACAGTGCTTTTTGCCCTGAGTGTTTATACCCCAAGGTCTGAGTTCTTTCACTGTGTCTGTAGCCTAAAACTGGTAGCCTAAACTGTAGCCTAAACTGGTTGCCCAATAGATCTTTTCTGTTTGTCCATGCCGGACCATTCTGCAGCCTCCAATACAGGAACACGCTTGCAGAGTAAGGAAAATAACTGGAATAAGTCCTTTTTCTTTCAGGCTCTTTTCACTGCTCTTTAAAGCGATACCAGACAAACTGCCATGCACATCAGGAGCTTCCCCATTGCCTTCAAGTACCTTTCAATTCACCGACACAGCCGTTACCAGTGTCACATACAGGGTCCAGGCCCCAGTGCAGATCACAGATCTTGCACAGAGGAGGTGCTCACGCTTCCACGCGGGCCTGGGGCTGGGACACGCCTGGGACAGGGCTGCAGCTGTCCCAAGAATGCAGGCTCCGAGGCCACGGAGCCACTGCCATACTTTTTTGGTAAAGCAGGGCAGAAGCTGAAGTCTTATCCCCACTGTTAGAGAAAAATGGGAATAAAGTAACCCTTTTACTCATAACATTACAAGCCATGACTTTATAAGGGAAAGCAACTTCTCAGATGTGTGTAGAGACCTTCCTGCTTAGATCCAATTGGCTGCTGAGGAATGAGGCTCTGCTAAATATGTCACTGGCCTCTTTTTATTTGGGGATTCCTTTCATCTTCATTGCATTAGCAGAATCTCTAAATGTTTTGGTTTGTCTGGCTTCAGGCCCTCGCCTCTATCTCATTGATAGGCTTTACACATTTTTTTCCCCCAACTCAGAAAGGCAGGAAGGAATAAGCTTTAGGGAGCACAAAAGTTCTTCTAATAACCTGATTCATTACAGCTGTCACATTGCATGCACCTGTAAAGCATCAGAACTACTATAAGCTGTCAGATACATTGAGTAGCTTTCTCTGTGATCACCAAGCTCTTACTCTGGTGCCTCTCTGAGAACCAGGAAAAAGGGCTCTAATCAGTCTCAAGACTCTCCACTCGGATGTGGCAGTTGTCAGCTTGTAAAGTTCTGAACACAGTTTTGCCACTGCAATTGGATACTGAGCTCTCCTGACATGTCTCCTGGGTGGGGTAATAAAGCAAGTTGTTTCACAGCCTCCTTTCATCTTCTTGACGAGATATCTTCCTACAATAATGTCAAGCAAAGCTGCTCCTAGTTCAAAATCAAAGGAACATATGCAAAACTAAAAATGAGTTAATAGTTCCCCTCCCATCCTTTTTATATAAATAAATGGAATACAAGAAAGAAGCCTGCTGGGTCAGGCTGATCTCCAGTTAGCCTAGCCTGCTGTCTCTGAGATTTCCTGAGAGCAGATGCTTAGGAGAGAAAACGGATGCCTAGCATAATAATTTTCTTCTTATATCCCCTGTGCTTCCTTATGTGCAGCATAAGGATTTCCTGAGACATGGAGGCTGTACCTGTATCTTCATATGTAAGAGATTTTGTCAGATTTTTCTTCCATAAATGTATCTAATTTAAACATGGTTTTGGAAACAGCTTATTCTCCATGATTTTCTGTGAAAAGAAGCTATACATTTTATCTGCAAGGCACCATCTGTAGCTCAGACTTTAGCTGACATGCCAGAGTTGGAAAGAGGACACCAAATTATCTCAAGGATGGCCAAAGGAGCACAGTCTTTACACCCAGAATGGCAAATCCACCAGGGATCCCAGAGAAGTTCTCGGGCTGCCAGCCAAGGCTGAGCTCTGCCCCTCTTGGCAGCACCTCAGGTGCAAACTTGCAGTTTAGACAGACATACCTGCTCTAAACAACACTGTGGACAAGGCTTCGTGACAATATTACATTATCATCTCTGTCTCTCGCTTTAATTGCACTCATAGCCTAAAACTGCATGTTTGGTATTTGTTTGCCCAGAGATCTTGCCTCTTTGCCCATGCTAGATCCTTCTGCAGTCCCCAGCATCAGCAATACACACTGATGTCTTTCCTAGGAGCTCAGAGGGAACAGATCAGAACGGCTCTGGAAACATGCTACCTAAATTTGTCCAAGTAATAAATGAGAACTTCTCACCATATTATCATGAAAAGCAAGCACTGTACTTCTAAGGATCTAGGACCCAAGAGATGTGTGCCATGAGGCAAGCCAGCAGGAAAGCACAGAAGTCACAGAATCACAGAATGTTCAAGGTTGGAAATCCCTCTTCTTCACTTTTCCTCTCAGTAACTTCTGATCTCCCTCACCAGTGTCCCCTACCGACCGGGAGCAACAAGGACCAGGTTCCCACCACACATTTGGAAACAGGAGATGGGGTAGGAACAAGCCCTTGGACACCCTTAACCAAAGGGTTAAGGTGCACATTATGAGAAACCAGATAGGACTCACTAGTGAAATATGCTAGAGGCAGGTTTCCCAAGACTCTTACTCACAACTCTGAACTCTAATTATGACTAGTTGTATCTGACAATTTTACAAATTTAATGCCTATATTAGCCATTAGGCTGTCCCTCCAGTGCACAATGAGTAAA